GGCACAGGATTCCATTTTTTATGGAAACTTCAAAAAAGAATGACATACAACTTAAAGCCTGGTCTTTAAAACAGAGGAGCTTCTACTACCCACATCCAGATGAGTGAGGGCGTGTGGTACGTGGCGCTGCACACCCGTCTATGGTGCCACACACGGCACGTGCAGGAATTCCCTGTGCTGCTACTTCACAACACAGGGGTTTCTTTGACCCTGGGAGATCCCAGGGTCAAAAAAACAAAAACCTACTCCAAAAAAAAGCGGGGCAGTGCACGTGGTGGCAGCGTGTGCTGTCCAAAACAGGAGCCTGACTGGCCAGAGCCACACTCCAGCTGCCAGCCAGGCTTCCTGCTGCAGGAGCACGCAGCTACAGCTCCCAGAGGCCCCCAGGTAAGGCTCCTGGGGCCAGCACAGTTGCTGGCCCCAGCCTCCCCTACCCCGCCCAGGGTAACCTGCCATGCACTTGCAGCACAGGCGTTCCCTGGGGACAAGCAGAAGCGACACAAGGTGTACCATTGCTACTTGTCCCCAGGGAAAGGCATGTTCCCACTTGTCTGGACGTGCCCACAGAGCCACCTTCAACGTTTTGCACGTTCCCTGCACCAGCAGAGATCAGTGACACAATAGCATGGCTTGCTCCTGTGTTGGCATGATTAACTGATGCAGGAGTAAAAAAAAAAAACAAAAAAAACCCAACAAGTTTGAGAAGGTAAAATGGAGGAGGAGCTGAGTTTCCCTGCCCCCAATAACTTTAATCAGAATTTATAAATTCAGCCCACCAAGGGTTTCTATTATCAATGGAGATGAAATCTGTCTTTAATTTTAAAAAAAAGCAAACTATGACATTTTAGCCATCTTCCTCGAGAAAACAAAGTCAGCTTCAGAACTGCTGTATATTTTTTGCTGTATTATGACCTCTGCAGAAACTGACTTTAGGCATCCATCATTCAGAAGCAGCATGCAGGAGTCAAACTCTGAATAACCGATTTTTCAGTTCGGACAACAAACCAAAATCAGAAATGCTTGGTTTGGATCTCCTGTTTGTCTGCCTGTTTTTCCCTGCCAAGACTAAAAACTAAGGCACTTCATTGTAGGCACTTGTCATAGGACCTAAAAGAACAAAGGGCTGGGGCTGGGAAAGGGAAAAAGGAAGTGGTGGTCTGTCCTGGTCTTCTTCTGTCCAAAAACCCAGTGGATCAGGCACTCAACCATGAAGCAGAAGAGCCAGGTTCAATAACCTGCCATTATGCACTACCTAAGTGAATACTCTAGCCCCCAGGGGACAGGATGCAGGTCTCCCTCAATTTGTGTTCTTGGAAAAATTCAGAATCAATAAAAAAAATTTTAAAAAAGCCCTAGCAGGACTTCCCAATAAAATATAATTTGTTTGCTCATATTATTTACCATAACATTTGTTTTCTAGCCTTTCTGGCATACTGTATCTACGATGCGTATAATAATCTCTATTTCACTGCCTTGGTGTCTTTGAGCTATGAACCCAATAAGATACACAAACTGCACAGAATGGGTCAGCACTAGTACAGGACAGTCCCAGGAAACATCTACGATGCACAAAAAATTGTTTAAAGATTCACCAAGTGGCACTCAGTACTGAATCAATGCCACAGGATGGCATAGGGAGATGTGGTGCTGGAAGTATATTTTCAGTGAAATGTGAAACCAAAGCCACATGTGGTTGTTAAAGATCCCAAAGACATTTAGTAATGAGAAAGGTGGTTACCTGGGCTGGAACTTGGCCAGAGCACAGAGGTTATTAGATTCTGCTCACTGTACCTTAAATCTATCCATAGTTTTTACTGGATTTTTTTCAGTCTCATCCTAAAACACAGGATAGATTCTGAATTCACAGATAAAACCCCCGCCTTTTTATACCTTATCTTCTCCGTAGCTGTTTCAAGAGACCCGCTTCCTGTTTATACAGCGCTTTGAGAACCTTATGTGAAAGGCACTAGTACTGCAAGATGGGCAAGCAGGAATTTTGCCAGGAAACCAGAACCAACATCTAGCCCAACTGTTTGGGATATTTAGATGAACGACAGCACATTAAGGATTTGCTGAGCTGGGGCAAAATTATGTCATCACAACATTTTTCATCGCCACTGAACATCTAATCTAGCTAACAGTGCTATCCTTTGTAAGCAGGTACATTCCAAATAGAGATAAGGATTCTCAGTTGGTCTAATAAAAAGGTATCATCTCTGAACCAAGAGTTCAACATGTTTGCATTTCTGTTTGTCTTAGACCAACACGGCTACCAAATACAGCCCTAATACAGATAAGGCAATTAACGTATTGATTTTTTTTATGAAAGGGATATTTTTAAGGCAAGCAGATCCAAACATAGATTTTTTTTTTTTAACATACATTGTAAGCGACAAAAAAATAAGTTATTTATAGCCATCTCTCCCCCACCCTAAAATGTATTTTGAAAGAGAAAAATATTAAATCCGTGCCAGCAACTCAGTGCTCAAGAGCAATGCTACAATAAACCATTGTACACCATGCAACGAAGGGAGAAAAGAAAACCAATCACTGAAATAGATCTCAACGTTAAGCTTCCAAATATTAGTTATGAACAGCAAAAGAAAAATTTTAAATATGTCTTCAATAGGCTGCTACAATTTAAGAGTGTACACAGACTGGCTTAAACCCCTCCTCCACATGCTAAAATCAGGCTAAAAAAAATCTGCCAAATTCCTAAAAAGGATTTCTAAGCATGAACCCACCATCACCAAGAAGCCTTTGAGAAAAAATCCCCAATGCAGATCTCCTACCAACAAAGAAAAACAGCTGCTAGCCTTAGGCATCCTTTAGCACCAATGTGCTAAAGACACTGGTGACTCGTATGACAGGAGACAGAGCAGAGATTGTTCGGAAAAGTGAGGAAAAAATACCTGCATTGTCCCGATTATAAAATTGATGCTACATACAAGTCAACTCCATATTTTGAAGTTTCATTTTAGGAAAAGCAGGGTTTTTTCCTGAAAAACTACAAACAGCTACAGATAAAGACCTTGAACAGGCTCTTGCCTTTACAAAACCTGACAGGAGAATCAAATAACCAAGAAAAAGACCCGAAGGGTTAAATGTACAAAAAATACTAAAAATAAAAAAAATTCTAGGTCAGTATTTTTATTGCATCCATAAAAAAATACTGGAAGTACCCAAGTCAAGACTGTTGGGGGCCTAAAAATAAACAGACTTCATATACAACTCAAGTGCAAGATTTCTGGTTATTTTGGAGGGGAGAAAAAAAGGTTTCTAATCATTACAGTACAGTAATTCTAATTTAATTCAATATTTTGAGGGCTCTAGATATTCCTGTCTACCCTCTAGCACACAAAACCAACTGTTTAATAAGAGACACTGCTCACAGACTGCCAACATCCTTTGGAGAGCCCATGATGAAGCATTTGAGTACAACAGGCTCTCAGATCAGAGCCGTACCATGAACGGAGAAAGAAACAGCTCTGATGGACACTGACAGTTTATACAATAATAATAATACTTTTATCTGCACAGTTTGTAACTATAACTAGGTAAGATCTAAAATGACTGCAACAGAAAGATAAAAGGAAAATATTTCTCTTTTTTTTTTTAATAAGTTTGCTGTGGGCATTCGATAACACTTTGGGGTACAGTTAATCCCCCTGATCCCTACAGACAGTCCATTTCTCCCTGCTTGCACCAGTCTATAAAGGAACGCATAGAAAAACCAATGACCCAAGGACTTGAAACTCGCTGAGTTTCTATCAGTTGCAAGCGGCACCATGAACATAAAACAGGCGCCCAGGGTTTAACTTTGTTAAGTTACATGGCAGAGATCTTTTGGTTTTATCCCTGCGTGAGACCTTGTCAGGGAGAAACGGCTGTTCAATTTTCAAGCATCCAAAAAACCTAATGCTCGTTCAAACAGGCTGCATTTTATCCCTACCCACGTGCGGCGGGGGGGCTGGACCTGATGGTGTGTAAGGTGCCTTCCAGCCCCTAATAACTCTGAAACTATCCTTGTGATATGCCCATGGTGAGAACACCTAGAAAAAAACGTTTGGCGGTCTTCAGCAAAGCTTTCTAGAAAATACATAGGATGCTGCTTGTATTTATGACGACTGCTTAATATCCCTGAGAGATCAAGTGACAGGAAGACTGCACTAAAAAAAAAAAAAAAGCAACATCCTATGTTAGGTAACCACTTCCAAAGTGTCCTTAAAATTAACCCACAAGATTTTATTTAAGCTTTGGTCAGAAATCCAGTCTCCAGTAGAGAGGCCCAGCTACTGCCATGCAACGCAGGAGCAAAAGGAGGTTTCGTTGCACGGGCTATGAATGAACGTACGATGACATGCTCCATCTCTGGCTTAACTACTTTCCACAACAGACCACGGGAAAACACTCCAGCCTCCTTTCCCCACACGCTTCAGAGTTTTCCAGGCAAAGCTAAAAAAACTTAAGTCCTATCTGAAGTCCTTCAGACCCGTTCTGCAAGTCGCCTGGCCTCCTCCACACGCAAGGGCTCCTCCGAAATAAGGGCTCGCCCCTTAGGCGTGAAGGTCCCAATCGGTGCCATGCCAAATCCACTAAGCACACCTATTTAAAATCGCTGTGGTTGCAGTGGTTTCGGTAAAGCCGGCAAACAAACAGGGCTCCGGGTCCGTCCCGAGGACTCGCAGCGCTGACCGCGTCCCCATCCGAAACTCCACGCCAGCTCGGGGCGGGGGGGGGCTCACCCGCCCCTGCCTCTCGCCCGCTGTTATTAAACCCAGGGATCAACTCGCCCGCTCTGAAATCGGGGATGACCAACGGCACGGTGTTGAAAACCAGGTGCAGCCCCCC